ATGACAAAAATTTGAGTATGCAGGTCTACGCCTTCGTAAATTTTATTAACAAAAGGAAACGAAATTTTATTAACATTTTGCAAGTTCCTTCCAAAGGGTGGAGGGTATTAAAAGTTCGGGTCGGCCCCATTTAGCTGCTTTTTTACTTGATATTATTAAAAGACATTCAAATTGTTTTGTTCAGAAAAATTGGATGTGGAACCATTGTACAAGGGTTAAACCAATATGTTCATCGGCAAACTTCAAAACGAAATATTTTGAAGACTTTAATGCGACTTTAGTCCGATGTATGAAGGTTTGTTTGGATATTTTGTCCAAGAACAAATGATATTTAACAAATTGTACATTTTGAGTACTAAAATGAAAAAAGAAAGGTGGAAATAAATAAAGCGCATATTTGGCTGGCTTAAGTCATCGGCTGGCTTCTTCGTAGAGGAACAAAGGAGTTTTAGATTGAATTAGTTCGATTTTGGCCCTAGGCTCCTTTGTTCATTTCTGAAGAAGCCAGCTGATGACTTAAGCCAGCCAGATAAGTGCTTTATGTATTTCCAGCTTAAGAGATACTCTTGCGGAGAAAAGTTTCTCTCTCAAGTAAAAACATTGCAAATATTTATCAAAAGATTGTTATAGTAAAAAATTTATTCAGTAAATGGTATAAACAAATAATAATTATTTCCTTAAATGTTTAAATATTTTCACATAATTCTTACTGAGAAAAATTTTTCAGTCGAAATTTGCAAAATCCCAGTAATTCAACTGTCTATTTTGCTCTCTTTCCTCGCTCTCTCTATCTTTCTCTCTGTCTCTCCCCCACTGTACTTTTGGGATATCGAAGTCTAAGATTCACATTTTGATTTGGGCGCCACACAATTGTACCGCCCTACTTTCGAAGCTGCAAATAAATATCTTAACTGATTCGACTAAAAATAATTTGTATCTGGAGTTTAACATTGAATATTGCTATTTCATTTAAACTATTGCAAAATATTAAAAATAATCAACAACAGAAATTTCTATATTCAATAAGTCCCCCCGGGCCGAAAGGAATATAAGTCTGGCGTTGGGACCATAACCATATTTAAGTCCCACAATACTGTATAATGCCCTCTAGAACAATAATTGGTCTGTTCCAGAAATGCTAAAATGTACAAGTTTTTACTACTATAACCGATTTTCCTTTTATAATATCCAAAAAATTGCAAAATTAGTAGATTCTTGCAGGTTTTGGAACAGAGCAATACTTTGTCGGCACATAGGAATGCCATATTTTGTCGGAATCGGTTCACTATATATCAGTACTATTTATTTACCTCTAATATGATGTATAAAATACACCAACCATGTCCAGGTCGTTATATTGTAAGTTTTTCTGAATATGTGTGGGGCTCAATTTATTTCTTATTCGATGCCAAATTTGTAATAGCTCAACCTCGTATCCTCTAATTTGAGTACAGAACTTCAACCAACTCATATTTCAAAAATCTTTGTTGTCTTTGAATTTGATCTCATTCTCTCTTTTCGCTTCATCTTATATTCGACATATTTTACAATTTTTTAATTTCTGAGAGTAAATAAGAACAAATAAAGTAACGTAATTTGAAGTCATAATAAATAACGCTTTTGTATTTTTATATGTATGTACCGATGACATGACAAAGCGTGGTCAAACCCATGGATGGATCAAACTTATTGGCAATTTCGCTACACGGTCGTAAAGATAAGAAGCCGTAAACAAAAAACTGATAGTTACAAAGAGAACGAGAGAGAGTGAGAGTTTTGGAGGAGAGATCACTTTGTAAAAACAAAACAAGGAGTATTTCTATTTTTTTTTTCTTTTTTCAAATGAGAGGAGAATTAAAACAAAATTAGTTTTTAAAATACTGCTACTGTACTGATGCTCTGCCGGTACATTGAGAACATAATAATTATGCCTATGTATGTTTTGGTACAGCATTCCCATTGAGAATGGCAGAATGGCGTTTTATGTTGACATTCATGTCACAGGCAAAGCCGCAGCCAATCTGTGTGATAATTTTTGTTTGGTAAACAAAGCCACTCATCATAATGACCACCATCTTTGTTCTGCCGCTGCTGGCCGTAGAGTTGTCAGGTCTATTTGCAAATGTGTTACAATTTTAAAATACGACCAAGGATTTTTTTGAGTAGATGATATATGTAAATGTATTAGGTGTGTTCGACAAAACATTAATAGCTCAAGAGTCTAGTAAGAAAGATTGATTTGAGGGAGGGAAGTTTAGAATATATAAAAGGCATTCTCCATTGTATTACAACATTATATAAATAGGAAAGGTGGCTTCGTGCTATTATAGTTATTATAACATTTATTTATACCCTCCACCATAGTATGGAGAGTATATTAAGTTTGCCATTCCGTTTGTAGCACCTCGAAATATACATGTTAGAAATCACTCTAAACTTCCGAACTAAATGAAGTAGGTTGATAAAATTTTACTCAAATGTATATTATGTATGCAGGACTTTTGATCCATGTAGGTCCACGTTTTGGTATAGCCCCCATATAACGGTACCTCCCGATATTCGGTATTTTGATGATTTTAGCGGTATTATTCACCGGATTTGTTTGGTATTTGAACATTTGGAAATGTGATACGAATCATCTTATGATTTAAAATGATTATTAATACCAATCATAATAACGTCTCAATTCGGTTTTCAATAAAGTGGTATTTTCAAAGGAATATGTATAAATTATTTAAGATCCTCCAAATTGGGAGAGTGTATTAAAAATTCGGCCTAGCCGAACTTAGCTGCTTTTTTACTTGTTTACATTTAAATTTTACAAGTACTCTGTACCACAACCTGTAAAAATTTACGAGTTTTGCTAAATTTTCCATATTATATAAGACTCTACCTCACCTCACACCTTAGTGTCTATGCAATACTTAAATGCAATTTTAAATCCATCCTCTTTCAATACTTTAAAAACATCCATCTTTTCTACCACCTCATTTCCATAAATATCACATGGAACCAGCCAAATGAAACCACATAACCGCAGCGCCAAATGAACCATATGATTGCAATTGAAAAACAAACCATAAAACTGAAGATTAGAAATGCTAAACATTTTGAAATGTGATACGAATCATCTTATGATTTAAAATGAGTATTAATAGCAATCATAATAACGTCTCAATTCGGTTAGGTACCAAGAATAAAAAAATGAAGTCAGAAAGGTGTTGACAATTTAAACCTACCCGTCAGAATGAGAATACCCATAAAGCCATGGTTTTATGATGACGAAGAAAAAAAGAGAACCACCAGATGTGGCCTACATCGATTCAGGGGTATGAGTGAAAATATTAAAATCACTCAATTCTAAAATGTTAAAAATAACAAAAACTTTAGAATATTTGGCAGATAAAGACTATTCTATAATAAGATATAGTTGTACATTACTTGAAGACATCGAAAACATACGGGTCGAACTATGCAAAACATGCTGAGAGCCACCTGGATAAAAAGACAAAACTAACTTTTCGATGTCTATATATTTATTAGTCTACGATACAGCTAGATGACCTAAAGGCTAGTTAACAAATTTTTTATTTAGATTAAAAAGTTATAGGGAACGCCTAAAGGTATGCTCTAAAATTATAGATATAAAGGTGAAGAAGTCAGTTCACCTGTGACCATTTGTAAACTAGATTCATCGTGCATCTGCAGAATACATGGTGAGATGAAAAAATGGAATAAAGTCAAACGCCACAATTTGTTTTTTTTTTTTAATTTTATTTAATGAAAGCAAAAAATATCGAAAATAGCATCAAATTTTAGAATATGTTTAGATTTGTTCGAATTGGTCACCATTGGCTCGAATTATGACCTTCAAACGGCCAATGAAACCGTCCCATGCTGCCCGAATGGTGCTCTGTGGTATTTTGGCCATTCGGGTGATCGACACTTTCATATTTTTTAGTACAACCTTGCTTTCCAAAACACTCCAGACACAATAGTCCAATGGATTGGTATCCGGAGATTTTGGTGGCGGAGAGCGACCATCGGCTGTTATGACGGCCCATACCATCACCATGGCCGGCGCTTAAGTTCTGTTGGCCAACAGAAGGCGCACATTTTTAACTGACCTCTTTGGCAAGTAAACACGATCAAGTAAACACACTGCTGGACAACGAATGTTTTCTCATCGGAGAAAACCAAATTCGGCAGTTCACCACTTTCGGCCAAGTGAAGGTGTAAACGCGATGTAAGTTCTAACACTTTTTGAAATTTCAATGGTCATTTTTCAATATTTACCGAATGGAATTTTGTGATATGTTCAGCTCACGAGCTATTTTTCGGCCACTGCGACGCGGGTTTCGATCAAGTCGCTTCATTATTTTTCGAAACATTTCTGTTAATGTGGCCGTTTTCTTCCGTCCAACGAGCGATGGTACGAGACACAAAATATTTATTCACATTTAAATGGTGGAGTACTCTAACGACAGCCACTTGTGGTTTCTCAGCCAAATATAAAGAAATCAAACTATCAAGAATAACTTTTTTCTGGAAAATTCTCACCAAAACGCTTTTGTACGCTTGTAAACAATATAATGAGCTGTCACTGGAATAATTTTAACAGCTGTCGGTCGAGTGGCTTAGAAATGACAGCAGTCTGAAGTTGGTTGCAGTTTTTTCATCTCTCCTTGTATATATTATATTCTCTCAACTCGTCAAGCTTCATCCTAAATTGCTCGAAACACGGCTAAACCTTATTCTGAATCTTTTAATGTCAAATGACTCATGTCCAAAAATAAAACAACTCACACCATAAGTCGTGACCAGCTTGCAACATAATGCGAGTTGCAACGGGTTGTGTCTAAAGGACCATCACTTCCATGACCAGTGTTTGTTTTGTTTATTCTACTTCTACTATGTCTTCTATATTCGTCGCTATATTCGTGACTTGTTTTCAATATTTTCCCTGACTTTTAGATCCAAAATCAATATATGCCTTTACATCGTTTATATTATTTAATTTTATTTATTTTCACTTTAGAATTATATTACATATTATTAACAATTTTGAGTGAGTTTCATTTATGTTTACAACTAATACAAAATCGCCTAAAATAACCATGCTTTGTTTTTCTTTTACGTTGGAAAATAAAATATTCTAAGAAAAGAAAACAGAGTATAAACACAGGATCTTTCTTACACAATTGAAGACATAAAGAAAATTCTAGCATTGTTTTTTTTTTTTTTTTCAATAAAACCAAAAAATAAAACAGCAAACACATGGAATAAAAAACAAAAAAGGATTATTTTCATTATTAATAAAAAGAAACAGAAATGCATTTTTTTTAAAAGAACGAAAAATTAAATTTCTTCTACAAACCAAAAAAAAAAAAATACTTGAAATCAAAAAAAAAATGTTTCTTCTAAAGTGCTTTTGAATTGACAAAATATCTAAATTTTTGGAAGCTGGCTTCAATTGCAGTTGGGCAGGTCGGTTAGACATGACAGAACACTCAAACATCAACTAAAATTATAAAGCAAAAACATTTAAAAGATAACTTGGAAATTAAAATAAGAAGTATTTAATAATTAATTAATTATGTCTTACTAACTTTATAATATAAATTAAAAAATGCATTTAAAATGTCCACAATTGTAAACCTTAACACTGCGCAATTGTAAAAAATAAGTTCTTGCTAAATAATCAATGTTAAAAACTTATTGTTTCATAGTTTGTTTGTTTCTGCGTTTCATTTTCTTGTGTTGTCTGTCTCTTCTGTTCTTTGCAAAACAAAAAAAAAATACGTATATTTTAACAAATATAATAAAATCAGAAAATAATTCTTTATATGTATATAAAATAAAACTGAGATATTTCGGTATTGGCCTTCAAAATTTTTCTATGCCACGAAAAAATTAAGGATTGCTGTTACTGCTGCTGCGTTTTTACAACAAAATGTGCAGAGAAGTAATATTGTGTTGTTGTTGCTTTTTGTTTCTTTTAGAGGGATGAGCTCGCGTTTTCTTGGATATATTTTGAATTTTTTACTGCTGGATTTTGCTTTTTTCTTTTTTGTAATATTTGTGTTTAGTGGTCTGGCCAGACTACTTGTAGGATCGCCAGATTTGCCAAGCACAGAATGCAGCGGAAAGGAGGGTAACACTACGTTGTAAATATTTGGTTTTTGTATTGGGCTCATAGCCCAAGATCACAGGAGATGAGACATCAGCTAAGGGCAGTTTATTCAAAACTTCTTCGTCGTTTTCAACCTGTTGGGTGAGAAAGAAAAAGAATTAGTAACTGTGGATGTTTTAAGAATATTTTTGAAATATCAAATAAATAAATTTTGTGGACTATCAAAGACTACAAGGAGTATTAAGTATATTTTTATCAATGACAACGTTGATTTTAAAGAGGCATTTTTTCATAATAAAATATGGAATTTCTAAGAATATTTTTTTAAAGCATCAATGATGCGCTTCAACTGTGGAGTTTTAGCATTTTTTAAGAACCATAACAGCTACTTGTATTTTTAAAAATATTTTTCAAGGACTAACCATGTCACAATACGTGTTTTTTATGAATGTTTTTTTTCTCAAAGGACTGCAAAGCCATTAAACGAGTATGAAAACTCTCCACTATAGTATGAAGGGTATATTAAGTTTGTCATTCCGTTTGTAACACCTCGAAATATACATTTGGACAGTATATATATTTTTGATCAGCATAAAATTCTATGTCGATTTAGCGATGTCCGTCTGTGGAAATCATTCTAGCTTCCGAACGAAATGAAGTAGATTGAGAAAATTTTACTTAAATGTATCTTATGTATGCAGGACTTTTGGTATTGAAAATGGGCCATGTAGGTCCATTTTTTGGTATAGCCCCCATATAACGGTACCTCCCGATATTCGGTATTATGATAATTTTAGCGACATTATTTACCGGAATTGTTTCAAATTTGGTGTTTGAAGTTCGAAATGGATACTACAGCCTACGACAGAAAATTATCTGTGGAGGTCATCGTCTTCATATAGCCCCCATATAACGGTACCTCCCGATATTCGGTATTTTGATGACTTTAGCTACATTATTCATTATTCAAGTTTCGCATTTGAATATTGTAATGGCTTTTGTCATAAGCATATGTTACCTATGCAGGTCCACGTCATCGTATGGACATACCCTAATATAATAGCTACATTTGGTATTTCTAAGATTTTAACAGAATTATTTTAAGATTTAACAAATTTTATTGTTTTGAGAATTGTCAAATTCGTTCCAAATGGTGGAGTGTATTCAAAGTTTGGCCCGGCCGAACTTACAGTTTTATTACTTTTTTTTGAATTTTCAATCATTTTTCAAAGGACTACCAAACTAAGAATTCTTGATTTTTCAACACAAGGCTAATTCTAGGAATATTTTTCTAACACAAAGGATACCAAAGTACAAAAGGTGGAATTTAAAGGATATTTATGAAAACATGGATTTTTCAGATTATTTATCAAGGTCAAACAGTCACAGAACAAGGATATTTAGGATTATTTTTCGAAATACTTTTTTGAAAACACCATTGAAGGACAAATATAGCCGCAAAAACCAGGATTTCCAAGACAACCTGGATTTTATGGACAAATAATGTCATAAATATGCCCCAAAAAGTAGATTAGAGATTAGATTAGAGAATATTTTTTTAAAAGACCATCATAGCTTCATATGTGGATATTTTAAGAGCAAATTTTTAAAGGCCCTTAGGGTCATAACTCATCAATATTGTTCAAGAGCCAGCGGAGCCACAAAACGTTGACCTTTTTATAATTTATTTTCAAGGATAAAGAGGTCCCTAAACGTAAACGGAGCCACAAAACGTTGACCTTTTAATAATTTATTTTCAAGGATAAAGAGGTCCCTAAACGTGAAATTTTAACGATTTATGGAACCAAAAAACGTGGACTGTTAAACATTCTTTTCAGCATATCAGCCGTAGAATTGAGTTTTCTAAGAACATATCTAAGCTATTCTAAGCTATCTACCAGGTAAATTGCGAATTTTTAAAAACTTTTAAAACGACTGTGAATATAAGCAGCGTAGATTTTTAGGAATATTTTCTCAGGGACTATAGGAGTTGTAATCCGATATTTTTAAAGAAATTAATTTGCTGGATTCATATTTCTAGAAATCAAAATGAAGTGATATAAATGATAAAATTAAATATTAAATTTGCTTTTCTACTAATACCTGGTACTGGCAGCAGGGATCATAATTCCATGATACTGTATACAAGCCGGAACAAAATAACGATACTGCACAAATGGGCCCCGCTATGACAGGCCGGCTGGGCCATATCAATGACGACAGCAACGAGGCCAGACCAGAAACAACAGCGGTTTTGTGTAGACAATTACCCACAGATATCCAGCGACCAGTTTCATCACCCAGTCTGGGGGGTTCTATGATAATATAATCGACTTTTGCCTCCAGGGCCTTTTCGAGTTCAGCCTCGAACCGTTGATGGGCATTTGCACTGTCATACACCTCACGTATAATATGAAATGTGGGCACTTTTTTGGTACTGCAAAATAAGAAAAAAAGAGAAAATTATTATTAGAATACTAAAGTAATACACAAGTGAAAGCAAATAGCAACAACAAATAGCTAGCAGCTGGTATAGGGAGGGGGATAGAGAATATCGCATTATTTAGAGTTCAAGGTCAGTTATACGTGCATTTTTTATCATCGGATATGATGAGATTCGTATGGTCGAAGGAATGTATACAGAACCTAGAGAGATACATGAAGTAAACTTAACAGAGAGGTAAATCTATTGTAGGGTCCAATTATACTACCAATAGCCACCCACCGCTAGATGATGGTACTTGCGTCTTAAGAGAGGCAGCGAGAGAATACAAACACAATCATTGAATGGGTGAAGATATCTAAAGGTATACGGTGGGACGCGAAAGGTGTGGGGGGCAAGTAGCCGCTTGTTATAGAGCGTATAAAAACGTAATGCGACAAACGAAACGCCAATAACCAGCTGATAACTGATTATATTTATTTATTGATAGCAAGTCGTCTGCCAAACATTTTTGACCAATTGTGCATTTGAATGTTGTAGAACAACAACAATAGCTCCACAGAAATCTACCAGCGGGGCAGAACGCATTGAGACTCCAAAATTTTTTTGCATTGCATAACAGTGGCGACATCATTTGCAACCCGAGTGAAAACATCCATGCCTCATCCTTCTTCTCAATGGGTCTGAAATGCGACATTAGTTTTGAAAAAAAAAATCCAACGAAGATGATGATGCTATGGATGTTCTGGTCATTGGTCTTTGTACTTGAAAATTCTCTCCAGTACCACTTCCTTTGTTGGGCACGGCGACGACGGCGGCGGCGGACGGTGGTTGGTATGTATTTCATTACGCTTGCTTACCCTTCATCATCTGTAACAGCAACCATGTTTCCTTCGGACGTTTGATTTCTTCTACTGCGTATTTGGTTATTAAAATTTTAACATTTATCTTTGTCAATAGCTGCTACCCGTATATTTTTTGCACAAAAACACAACAAATCGAAAATTAAATATCAATCAATCGACGGACGAGATCTAGCGAATCTGAGAATCTGATGAGAGAAAACACTGAACACAGACACACAGACAACATGACATTTTTTTGTTTTGTTTTGGTTTGGAGACAAGGGATCTCAATGCCGATTTTCTATTAATCGGTTAGTTGTGGTTTCCTTCGTTCTATGCTTATTCTTGCATACTTCTTATTAGGGTGCTACCATTCACACATATTTCAATGAATGTTATATCACGTTGAGTTTACTAGATTTATTAACTCGATAAATTGCCCATTCCATCCAACGAACGTCAAATAAATCCTCATCAAAGAGGTTAATTCTACAAAAAGCTCTAATGTAAACATAATATGAATAGGGATGACACTTGAAAGGAAAAGGAAAGTGAAATATTTTCAATTTTACCAGTAGTTGTGTTCCAGAACTAGAAAGTTTCTGTTACTTTTGCACATTTTATCCAAAAAGCCATTTCCCTATTCCAAAAAAACTTGCAAAATATTATTTTTCCTTTAAACAACCTCCTCGATTTTTTGTTCTCTTTAGAATTTGGTCGTGTAAGCTTTGAAAATCTGTCAAACAGCTAATTTCATCCATTTTCACTTGAAACCAATTGGACAATTATGTTACATTTCCTATGAAAAATGTCAAAAAATCTGCAAACACACAAATCTTTTAATTTTGTTATTTTATTTTCATCAGTTATTTGGTAGTGACATTATTGTTGACAAGATTTTCCGTTGCCGTACATTTTCCACTATTTTTTTTCAGTGGGGACATATAACAACAATTATTAAATCTCTTAGTAGTATAAACGCGTTGTTTAATTTTGCTTAACGCGTAAAATGGCTCAACGTACGTATTTTTGGTTTGTTCCAAAACTGCAAGAATGTAAAGCTGTTAACTACGAAAACCGATTTTTCATTTATAATATCGTTAAAATTTGCAATGCTATTAGATTCTTGCACGTTCTGAGCAATTTTAAACATTGCATGACTTTATCATGACAGAAGAATATTTTTTAACAAATCAATGTTGCCAAGGGTTGTTGCATGGTACAATGAAGAGAAGGTAGGCCAACTTTGAAAAAATTGCAAGTATAGAGGTCTACCTGTTCGGCTTGTAATGTCAGAATTAGTATCAAAACAATAAAAAATCAAACAACTTGTTGCATTTATTTTGAATAAATAATTGAAAAACGCGATAACTGAATGAAAGGTCAAAACTTCTTTTCAAAATCATATACTATATATCTCTAAAGGATTATTTCCCTACAATAACTCTAGATTTTGTCGATGCATACGTTGAAATAAACATTTTGAAAACACCCGAATTTGAATATTTTCTGAACAATTTTTTTGTTATTGAAAAGAAAATACATACATAAACAGATAAAGATGACATATTAAGCCAAGAAAATAAAAAAAATTAAAATCATATGGTATCATAGCCCTACCTTGATATTGTACCATGGGTTGTTGCATCTTCCTGAATTTTTCTACCATGATTATTATACTACTTGTTTCAGGCTCAAAGAAAAATCTCCCACAAATCTATAATTACAAAATCGATAGTTCGATTTTACGACGGTCAAAGGTCGATTTACATGTCCCTGACTTTAACTCTCTGTTGCTCCTAATTGTCGTTCTCTGATAACAAATATAAACAAATAAGCCAATTATTTTACAAATTAACAAATTTTTTGAATGAAAACTCCATCCAGAAGAAAAATGTATCAGAAACGAAGGAAAAAAGAAAGAGAGGACAGACGCAAAAACTCTCATAAATTAGAAAATCAAAGGAAACTAGCTGCCGCCAATAACTGCCACAACTGCAAGAGTTACAACAGGAATAAACAAAATTATACCAATCCCACCTTCCCAAATCAACGGAACTTTCAAAATCTACAAAACAATCGCATAAATGCCTATACGGAAAGTATGAAATTATGGTGGAGAACCTATTGCACGGCACTCCAGTATCACAGTGAACAGCGAAGACATTGGCTGCATCATGGAACTAACCTTTTCGATGGTGCAACAAATGAATCTTCATTGTTGCAGTTGTATGCTGAGGAGTATGAAACATCTTCCTCTGAGGAGGAACAAGAATACGACGAGGAGAAGGAGAAAGATGAGCTTCTGGATGATTACAGTACCGTGGACGAAATTGAAAATGCTGCAGATGACATTGACTTGGAATATTTAAAATTTTTGGAAGTTACCCATAAACACCGTGAAGATTTGCGCTTAAAGCGTGAAATAGAAAATGCATAGGAGTTAGTATTTATATGTAAGCACTTATACAGACAATTTTTTTAAGCTCAGACGCATCACATATTTTGCGAAAATTTTGACGAAAATATACAAATTATTTGACTTTTTAGAAATACATTTTTATTGGCTGTGTCTTGATAAGGACATTTTTAATCTTTCTGCTTTCTCTATCAAAATCTAAACGTGAAATGTACTTGTGAACTAATTTCTTACTTAATTTGGTATTTTGGAAGGACAGATAATTACATAGCTGACTTGATACGGTTATTCATATTTGTGTGGCATTGCTGGTCCCGGAAAATATTCTTGGAAAATTTATGTTGTATTTCTCTGAAAGTCCCTAAACATGTTCTCAAAAAAATCTGAGTTTTGTGACTTTAAAATCCATAAAAATATATTCTATAACTTCCACTCTGACAACACTCGTTATAGTTCATGTTCAGATAAAACAGTATTTTATTTGTTTACAAAAACAACATATATATTTTGTAAATTAAACTAAAATTATAATATACAAATATGATATAAATTAAACGCTCCAATATAAAACAAGGCAAAATTTAGAAAAAGGAAAAAATGTACAATTTAAGGTCTTCTCATTATAAATGGGTAACAAATTTTACTTTCTGATCATTGTATCATTATCAGCTATTTTGGTTTGTTGTCCATTGAGGTTGACGAATCGGCATCTGTATTGTTAACACTATGATTGAGGGAGCTAAAATCACCGGTATTACATGAGATTGAGGGTATTTCAAAGGAAGAGAAACCACGATAGTCGGTAACCATGGGTTTGAGGGGTGACGGCAAACGTGATTCATTGGCTGGCGAATCATCCAGCAAGCTTGGAGGATCTGCTAAATTTATGGATATTTCATGTTTAATACGCTGTTGTTGATCGTTTGGTCCATCGAATGGAAATTCAACTGGAAATCGCGGCGTAGATGCAAGACATGTTGGCCTATCGCTTACAAATGACGATGCTGTTAGCCCCGTGGTCTCGGCCAATGGATCGAATTCGGCTAAATTCATTTTTACATCTTCCGTTGTACTATTGTCATTACTGTGATCGGACAGATCAAAATCATAATTGATGTTTGTAAGACCACCACGAAATTCCGCGGTTAATAATAGATCATCTGTAGAGTCGTTAGTCTCATCATGCGTCCTTATATGCTGTTCATCAAAGGGAGTGTAATTGAAGATGGGTGAAGCAAACAGAAGATCCACATTATTTGGATTAGCACCTGCCGTTGGTGGTAGCGGCGACAAACGTCCCGGCATTTTTGCAATATTCTCATTATCTGTAGCACTTAAATAATGACTTTGAGTTGATGTCTGCAGGAGGCTATCATCCGTTGAAATACCCTTTTTAGGAGAGCTACTGGTTTCCACTCTTTGTGGTGTCAACGGTAAAGGCAACACTTTGGAATTCAAATGTTTGTCGCGTGAAGTTGAGGTTGTCGATAATTTGTTGCTATTATCCATAGCGGAGATTAAGTTGTATTGATAGTGGCCACCTAAAACCCGCGCTATTTGTTGTAATTGCTCTTGATCTCGTTCCAAATGGGCCCTTGCTTTGGGTATCAGAAATTCCGGAGTTTTTATATCCAATATTGTGAGGGGAGCTTTGGCAATTACTGCTTCAACTTTATTGGTTATTTCAAGCTAGAAGAAAAAAAAAAAAAGAACTTTTTAATGTATTTTAAACTTATTAATATGTTCTACCCTACGACAAGATATTTGACATCCCTGATGGCAAAAGTTGCACTTACAGAGAGCCGCCAGCTTACAGACTTCCCAATGGCCATCTACTAAATAGAACTTCACAATTTTACGCTAAATGACTGCAAATCTTTCAAATAATAAAATTGGGAGCTCTACAAGGTGCACTGAATGTCCAACTATATTTATAACCTATTGACTCATTGGTAGAAAGAACTAAAATTGAGTCAAATAACTACACAGTCATGCTACAATATTATTAAAAAAGAATCTGTAAATATTCTAAGCACATTCACTCTAATCTCCTTTTTTTTTAATGACTTGCCCGTCTGACTCAGGTATTGTTTTTTTAACGCCTTCTTGGTGATAGTGTGATTAATTCAAATTTCGCTATTTCTTTAACAGAATTACTAGGTGTCCATTGTATTGAAACTGATTGTTTGTCAGAATCTGCGATTGGCATTTACACTTAGATGAGTTTCCTTATCGTCGGGGAAAACAACGCTAAAGGAGCATTGAGGCGTCTCTTGCAGTCGGGCATTTATGGTCTTGGCAATGTTTTTTTTTAAAGCTGTTCTCTTAATATATTAAAATGTTCTCTTATTTAATATACTTTCTATGTCTCAAATGCATATACATTCTCTGCGCCCTTCTGAACTTATTTTCCCTTTTAAAATTTATATTGCCTTAAAGTAATAATTTCATAATTACCTGAAACTCTTTCAAATCCTCATTGAATTGAGCTATGCCCTTGCTAATATTTTGATTGCGTGTATTTAACATTTCCATGCGTTTCATATTCTCCGAAATCAAATGTAAACTTTCACAAGCCATTAACGCACTTTCCCATGGTGTACTATATGGCTTGGAGCCGGACATTAACATGTCAAATTCTTCTTGGTCCATGCTCAAACTTTGAGCAGTTAGATTTTCAATAAACGAAATGGCACAACACTAAAAAAAGGATCAAAAGTGAATACAAAAATAAAAAAAAATATAAAATCAAAGGTGTACTTACCAAATTTGTAAAATAGTAACCACCCTCGCCACTCATTAAACGTGAGGCATTTGTGAAACGTGTCACAAAATTAATATTGCTATGTAAACGTACAGGATTGGCCTTAAGAACTACAAAAATTAAAGCTGGTAAAAATTCATCGGCACTTGCTGGTCCACCCACAGAGTGTTTGAGCAATTCGAAAATGTGACGGCAACAACGCACAGTGCACTCAAGTTTCTCTTGCGGTGAATAGAATGAATCGATGCCGACAAGTTCTAAAAGAAAAAGTAGTCCGGGAAATATTAATTAGAAAACAATATTACAAAAATGATTGAATTTTACCAGTTATTGCATTATAAACCAATTCCCTAGACTCGGCATTTACTTCATCGATGCAACAGGCCAGGTGTTTGGCTGTTATCCAGCTTAGTTGCCGTATACGTTTTTGGATTTTCACATCATTCTCTTCATCGCTGGTAAAGTATGGACTAAAAAGGAATCTAAGCAGAAAGATATTGATAAAAAATACTTCACCACAATGTGAATAAGATATTCCAACTTACTTGTGATTCCTAGTCATCACCACCTTTTCGAAAAAATCAATTGTCATCTCTCTATCCTCATTTGTGGCAATTTGAAAACTTGCATCATTGTGTACCAAATCGGAAAATTTACTATAGGCATTTTGTACCAATTCGGATAATTCATCGATATTTTTGGTGTTATTGCCTTGCAAATATGAGCGTATCTCATAGTCAAGGTGTTGAATTTCGTTTTTCAACTTCGCCCGGCCATCATCGGGTATACGCAATTGACGTAATTTCAAAATGAATTGAGCTTCGGTTGGATCAGGAACATAATCTTTGTGATGATGGCCTATTGTATTTAGAAATTAAGAAACCAATAAGAACATTAAATCAAAATTGGTAGGTCAAATTGACACCACAATCTGGGTAACAGTAACGCCCATTTGGGCGTTATACAAATGGAAATTAGAAATTATTAGACAATTTTTATGTTTCTGTTTCTCAGAAGCTTTTAAATTTGAACTTCCAATGCTATGGTGTTTTAAGTTTTCTTATTTAAGTTTTCAATTTATACCAAAACAGAAGAAATATTTTGATCCTAATATGTCACGATATTCCTAGCTGAGAGGTATTCGTTCCCATACTCGGGTCAGGAACTGACAATTTACTCTACGCTGCAATAATAAAATGACTTCTAAAATAAGCTTATTATTATTCTTTTATCATTTAAATAAACGCATTATGACTAACTCTTCCAAGAAAACCTTATTCAACCCTTGCTCAACTAAAAAACAAGACTGGTTTTGTTGAGAATAAATTTCCTCTTATCTAGTTCTTTTCTCCACAAGTCTTTCCTATCGTGGCCCAGATATTTATAATGCCACTGTCAAGTGGCATCATCACTTCCGTGTAATTGTTGTTTTATGAAGTCTGTTTTCTTGAGATTACATGAAATAAATGGTCTCGCCTGGTGGCTGGCAATTATTGATAATACCAAAAATAAAAAACTTGTGTCGCTTTCATTCTGGCAAACGTTATGCGTGTGACACACAAACACAGAGACTTACTTCGTTGCTGTTGTTGGCGTGAATGTTTTTTCGATGATTGACTGCTGGGTTGTAGGGTCAAAGATTTTACCAGCGATGGCACCAAAGATTTCTTTTTCGTCAAGGTATTGCTAATATTTTCAACCGGTGTTTCCGATTTCTTTTGATGTCCACTTGAAGTTGATTTTTGTTGATGTCTAGGTGAAACCGATATACCATCATGACGTTGACCACCTGTCACCGATGATGTTGGGGATGCTGTTCTCACTTGGTCCACTAAATAATAATAAAAATAGCTAAAATGAATATGTGAAGTCATGAAACTCTTTTTTGGGAGTACATACATTTTTTCCTCTGCTCGTTACGTTCGCGAAAACACTTGGAACATAAACCCTCAAATTGATAGTAACCATAAAAGCCACAACCATTCCTGCACTTGAGGTCCTGTTGTGGCATACGTAATTGCACCTTAGTGTTGGACATGATTAGTCGTATTCTTTGTCAAAGCTGCGTTTTATATTATCTGTTTTTCTAATGCTTGTTTCACTTTTGTATCTCTATTATTGCCTTAAATCACACATTTAATTCTTGCGAAACATATTGAGTTTTCCAGTTGTTATTGGATTATTGGTTTGCTTTGTGATTGTGGAACACACCCGTACGGCCAAGATTTTCTTCATCGTATGCAGACAACGAAGTTGATTGATTTTTTTCAACGACGGCAGTTGCCAGTCGTTTACTAACGGCGGCGACGTCATTATTTTCTTTGACTAGCGGCCACAACTTTCCTGTCGTTACAGTCACCAAAAATGAGAATTTACTGGGCTCCATTGACAATTTAACTAATAGAGCTGACATCAACACAAGAGCAATGGGTTTTTGCAATAAACCATATATACCAAAAGATTGATTAAAACTCATTTGTTTCCAACTCTTATCGCAACTCCTAAATGAAAAACATTCCAAAATAGTTAAATAAGGAATGAGAAAGACAAAACACAAGGCCGGATAAAGTGTAAACAAACAACAAATATTGCTGTTGTTTGTTTACGAATGAGACGAATGAAACACAATCGCTGGAAATTAGCCACGAAAGTGGTTCAAGTGGTTGAAGAGTTCACTAAAATGAATAAGTGAACTAGATAAAATGGGGGGTTGTATTAGGGTGATTTATTGAGAACTGAAAAAGCAATATCAATGAAACTATATATTTGTACAACTAATTTTGTTACGCCCCTTCACTAGTTTGTTTAATGGACAATTCATAACTCCCGAATTGAAGTTCGCGATATCTTTTGCATTTAATATTCTTTGTGTTCCTCTGACCTATGAATATCCCTCTAATCAAGCCTATGAAAAGGCTCTACTAACAAATTCTTTTTTGTGATTAGATTTAAAATTGGAAAATAGATGTAATTTTGGGAAACACATTGAAATAAAACCATCATAACTGTAATACAAGCAATAAATGAAGTCAGTTGAGTCCATTTTATCAATCTCTGTCTCCGATGAAGTAAGGGTGAAAATACATAAAACGCTTTTTTGACTGGCTTTTACGTAAAGGAACAAAGGAGTTTTAGGTTGACTTAGTTCGATTTTGGTCCTAGGCTCCTTTGTTCTTTTCCGAAGAAGCCAGACGATGACATAAGACAGTCAGCCAGCCGATGACTTAAGCTTGTTATGCATTCTCGCCTTAATATGGCAATCGCTGTTGCAAATATGTGGACATCAACATTTGTAATATGTTCATTATTACCTGTTTATGCGTTACTTGATCACAATATGGCAGCAGAAAAGTAGTTTAACCTCAAAGGAACTAGGAAAATTCAACTCAGTACGGGAGTATTAGGGTGGAAACACATAAAGCGCATATTCGGCTGGCTTAAGGGCTAAGTACATAAGAAGCTTGAAGTCATGGCACGGCCTATTTTGTGACATTTCACAAAGGAATTACAGAGCCGCACTAAAATCCTGCCGTCGTTTTTCATTATAATTTGGCATTAATATGCCTAGCCATGACTTCAAGCTTTTTATGTATTTGCAGCCTTAAGTCATCTGCTGGTTTCTTCGTAAATGAACAAAGGAGTTTTAGGATGACAAAATAATATACATTTGAGTAAAATTGTATCAATCTACTTCAATTCGTTCGGAAGCTAAGAGTGATTTCCACAGACGAACAGACAGACGGACATCGCTAAATAGACATAGAATTTTATGCTGATCAAGAATAGATATACTTTGTGGGGTCTAAAATGTAAATTTCAAGGTATTACAAACGGAATGACAAACTTAATAAAATGATTTATGTGTCCGACAAAATAATTTTTTATTTATCGTCAAGTTGTAATAACTGGCCTATGTCTTTGTTTGTTCTTTCTTAAAGAAACCAACCAGCCGGTGACTTAAGCCAGTCAAAAAAAAAGCATTTTATGTATTTTCATTTTCGTCTTTACACAAGATATTAAAGCAAACATATTTTTAACGTTTGACCGATCACTTTATTGAGCCACTGTATAAGTTTTGAACGAACAGAGAGGAAAAATTGTATTTGAGAGTAAATATTGAAAATTTCTTTGTCACAATCTGACCACCAAATATTATTTGACGGTAAATACAAAAACAGCTGATTTTGGGAAAACAAAATTATTTGCCAGAAAACAAAAATTTGACCAATGTGTCCATAATGTGAACATATATGATCAATTATTTTCCTATTTTTTGGTCAAACATTTATTTGAAGATGCAAATGTTTTGTAAGGTCAAACAAGGAAAAATATCAGTTTAAAACATTGGACAGTATTTTGCTTTAAGAACAGGAGCATTTGTAGCATGATTTTTAATAAATAGAAAAACAAACGAATGCAATAAGTGGCTTTGTTTATTTGATATTTTTGAATTAACTGAATTTGAATGTTTAGTAAAAAATGTTTATATTTGGCCTGTTCCAGAACTGCGAGAATGTAAGTGTTTTTAATACGATAACCGATTTTCCGTTTATTATATCGAAGAAAATTGCGAAACTAGTAGATTCTTGCAGGTTCTGGAACAGGATATGGGTAGATGCATCAACGCTTGAATCAATGATATGTCAAAAATTTTGAAATGTTTTGACAAAAATAAGTAGATTTTTTTGTTTTCCTAATTTTCAATAAAATTTCATTCATTATTTTCAATTTCAAAATTGTTTTGACAGTTCATTGTCCCAGCAGCTATGTCGATGTGACTACCTGTATTCTTCTACCATGATACAAAAAAAATGCAAAAAAAAATTGTTCTGGCAAGGAATTTATTCCACAACAGCTGTTCTTTTGCTTCCCTTCTCCAAATAAATTATACCCGAAACTACATTTTCTTCATGTCTCTCTTCCACTCTCTCTGTCTATTTCTCTCGGCCAAATAAACTTATGTTTCCTTACAGTTTGATCAAACAATTTAATGGGAAAATATATTTTACGAATGTGAACATGTGTCAAACATGTTTTCCCATAGCACTGTTTGACGCTGTTTGGTGACTGCTTGAACAAACAAAATCTGTCAAATATTTGACTGTAATGTGAACATCGAATCAACTCTGTATGAATTTCACATTTGTTCAGTCAAATATGGGAAAACAAATTTCGATCAAATATTTGCCCAGTGTGACCGTACCTTTAGCTTTCTTCGCATTCTGTTATTGTACCAAACTTGTACTTACTTTTAAATATTCCAAATAAAATTCCAATACTAACTTGTTTAAAATCTCCATATTTTCCATTTTTTTTCTCTATTTCTTTGCGTTTATATTTCTTAATGTTGAGTTGACAAATTTTTGTGGTGTGATTTTCTTATAACTTTTTTTTCTTGTGTATTTATGTGTTGTTTATGTTTTATTATAATATTTAATGACTAGATGAATTCGAGTTTCCCCATTCTAATGTTTTTGATTTTCTCAGAAATAAACCATGAAATTTCTTGTTTTTTGTTTCTTTTGGGGGGTGTTAATTAATAATAAAAAGCATGATTCTAAGTAAATATTTTTCAGTTTTTTTTTTTTGGTTGGTAATATTTTTACGTACATTTGTATGAATGGATGTCAATGTATTTTTTTTTGTGTTTGATTAAAACGTGTGTTATTTCAATCTTTGGTATTTTCATTCATTCATTCATGCTAAAGTAGTTTGGAACTGGACGTATTATCATTTTTTTTTACTTTTTTGGAGAAAAATATTGGTTTTTCATTACTATCTCGTTGGTGGTGTGGTGTTTTTCTGGTTTTCGTAATTATTTCCTATGGAATCTACTGTTTCTTTCGTAGGTTATGGTGTTTTAAGTTTCGTTCATTTGTTGTCGCTATTTGCTTTTAGGTTTTATCCATAAACTATTTCTATTTACTATTTCTTGTGAGTTTAAAGATGAAACTACAATTTTAGGAGAAAACAACTTTTGGAAATTGGAGATGAAAATTGTTTTAATTTGATATTATTATTTTTTTTGATTGTAGAGGAAACATGAAACGCTTGAGTCTCTTTTCTTATTAGTTCTTTCAGAAATCTTAGTTTTTTTCGTATTTCAGGGTTTTGGAGATATCAATAAGTCTTGGTAGGGATAATGACCATGTAAGTTGTAATAGAAGAAACCAAATAAGGACTTAATATAATATACATAAATAACTACCGACACATACGTACATAAATATACATATATAGTAAGTTGTAATCTAAAATTAACTTATTAATTATTTTTTGTTATCATACAACTAATTGACACCAATCTTTGCTTTGTCTTCGTACAGAATCTCATCTGCTGCCACATATTCATACATACACACACAAATACACTTTGTGTAAACCTGCATTTAATTTCAAAGCCTTTTTAAGACTAAAGGCTAAATGTGGGAATTACAACATATACAAACGTACCTACAACTTATCTATATTCTGCAAATCCTTGTCTCAGAGGGCCTATTGAAGTTATACACATAAATAAATCCAAAATTCAAGAGATATACACAGAAAACATTGGTTTATAATGTAGATTAGGAATTAAAATTAATATTTTTTTAATGGGAAAAATGCATTTGTCTTTTTTTTGGTAACATTTATATGAAGTATACTTTTCGCCAAGTAAGGGGTTATCTCGGGGAACTGATGGAAATCGTAACCACAGAGAGATCGATTATGAAGATTATTTTTTTTTAAAGTACCATTTTGTTTTCTATGAAAATTTGAGTTAAAAAATATTCTCTTTTTAACATTTTTTTTTATTTTTAATAAAATTGTCTTTAAAAAAGTATTCATTTCACATTTATATGGGATAAGAATCAATCCCTGGGGCTTGATTCTTGATCTATGAAAATATGAAATGAAAACTATTTCCTTTATAATTTTTTTCATTTGATATTTCTTTCCCTTTAAAAGTTTTCATTTCACATTTTCATAGAACAAGAATTGAGGCCCTGGGCTGTTTTTTCTGTGCTGAAATACGATTATTTTAGATTTTGTATCATTTTGGAAGAAATAAATTCGAAGGAACTGTGTCGATCGAAACCATAATAAAGGTGTGAGTACATAAGCAGCTTGAAGTCTTCGCATGGCATATTATGTGACACAACATAAACGAATATCAGAGCAGCAACGTAATTCTGCCGTCGTTTCCACTTATGATTTGGCATTAATATGCCTTGCCATGATGCCAAGCTTCCATGGTATAAGAATATAGGTAGATGCATCAACGCATGCGAACATTGATGTCAAAATTTTAAAATTGTTTTGTCAAAAATAAGTACATTTTTATATATTTTCTTATACGATGCAAATCGGAGGTTGTTAGAATATGCATTTCTCAACAATTTTTACAAATTTTAATAATTTTTCATTCAACATTTCAATTCCAAAATCGGTTTGACAGTTCATTGTCCCAGCAGCTGTGTCGAAGCGACTATCTATATTCTTCTACCATGCAAGCTTCTTATGTATCCTCACCTTAAGACCTCCCATCAAGGGCAACTGATAACTAGACGATCTGTCCAATTAATTTGTATTCTCCGCAAACAATTAATACAATCAAAACAAACATTGAAATATTTATTTTTCACTCGAGCATTGATTTTGACATTTGATCTGATAAGATATGGAACTATGTCCAGGGACTGGATTCCTGTTTTATAAAAGAAACGAAATAAAAAATGTTTTCTTTATATTTCTTTTTGTGCAACCAGTTCCCAAAGTTCCTTTAGTTCACCTAGTTCATAATAAAATATTTTATTTTATTACACTGCCTTTACACGGTGCAATTTTTAGCTGGCATTTTTATCAATTCTCTGCGTAAATCTTCGCGCCTTTTACGGCATTTTACGATAATAGTGCTTGGCATTTTTTCTGACATTTTATTTTATTCAGTAGTTCGTATAGAGCTAATTGTTTGTAACATATATTTATAAAGAAGTGATTTAAAATTAAATGTGTGAATCTAAAGAAGAAATGATGGAAAAAGTAATTGAGGTGTTAAATATTGCATTATTAACTTTTATTTTAACTTTCTTTTTTTACTTTTTAATACTTCCAATTAATTTTCATATAATTCACTATGCAATTCAATCACTAAAAACATCACATCACAATAAAAGAAACGCATCAAAAATTACAATAAAGAAACGATATGAAATGCCATAATCATAAAAAATTCGGAAGAAGCAAAAAGAGAAATGCAAAGAAAATGGCATGTAACCCTGTGCGGTGACTTATCGTGCCATTTTTTCTTCTATCCTTGTCTCTCTACACCTTTTACCAACAAAAAAAAAAAATGGCATGGTTAAAAAATGTCACCGTGTAAAGGCAGTGTTATATTGAAGGAGCCATGGTAGAATAATACAGGTAGTCGCAACGACACAGCTGCTGGGACAATTGAGGCAATTGGGCAATTTAAAACCAGTAAAGAAAGTCTTAAAGTCGGGCGGGGCCGACTTTATGATACCCTACACCACTTTGCTAATTTAGTAGAGCTCCACATAACAATTAAAAGTTTTTATGGGAGAATTCAATCATACGCGCTATGATTATAATTATAATTTAAAGTTCAAAAGACTAAATATGCCGAAGCATTTGTACATTTTAAATTCGGAATTGTATTGCCCATTTGGTGCGCAATTAATTTGAAATCGGATAAAGATATATATGAGTGCTATATCCAAATCTGAACCGATCTCGATAAAATTTGGCAAAGATATTTCTGAGCTGTATTTGATATATTTCCCTGAATATCGTAGTTACGGAGTGCATACTACGGTTGTGGGTAACGAATATAACAAATCGGATGAATAATATATATGGAAGCTATAGCTATATCTGAACCGATCTTCACCAAATTTGACATACTAGCTTCTAGACTCAATTCGGTCGTAAGTGCCAAATTCCATCCCATTTGGACAAATATTAGAAGTTTGGTGCACAATAAAAGGTAAATCGGACGAAGTTATATATGGGAGCTATATGCAAATCTGAACCGATCTCGATAAAATTTAGCAAATGTATTTCTGAGCTGTATTTGATATATTTCCCCAAATATTGTTGTTGCAGAGTGCATATTACGGCTGCGGAGGACAAAAATAACAAATCGAATGAACAATATATATGGGAGCTATAGCTATATCTGAACCGATTTCGATCAAATTTGGCATACATATTTTCAGGCCTAATTTGGGGCTGATATTACACGTTTGGTGCACAATAAAAGGCAAATCGGACGAAGATATATATGGGAGCTATATCTAAATTTTGACCGATTATCCAATCCAATTTCAATAGGGTTCGTCCTTGGGCCAAACAAACGATCTGTGCAAAATTTCATCTGGATCGGGCAATAAATGCGACCTGTACTTTGTTTACAAAAATACATGGACAGACGGACGGACGGACATACATAAATCGACTCAGAATGTGATTCTATGCAGATCATCAAAAGGAACTATGGGTCTATCTCGTTTCCTTTTGCCTGTTACAAACAAATGCACAAAGACATAATACCCTGACCTCCATGTGGTGTAGGGTATAAAAATTGTTGAAAAAAACGCATATCATAACAACTCCCAGGCAGAGCTACCAACTGCTTACAATTTTTTCTAAGTGTGCCCGACTTGTGCTAATTTCTTTTTGTGCAACTAGTTCCCAAAGTTCCTTTAGTTCACCTAGTTTATAATAAAATATTTTATTTTATTGAAGGAGCCATGATAGAATAATACAGGTAGTCGCATCGACACAGCTGCTGGGACAATTTGTAATTGAAAATTTGAAATGAAAAATTATAGCAATTCGCAAAAATTGTTGAAAAAAAAGCATATCATAACAACTCCCAGGCAGAGCTACCAACTGATTACATTTTTTTCTAAGTGTGCCCGACTTGTGCTAATTTTGTGCATATACTTATTGTTTTGAAAAATAAAAACAAAATATTTTCAAAGTCAATGATTAAATTTATTAACCTGTTTTGGCGTGGAGTTAAAAAATTGTCGGACAGCAACTCGTCCGACAGCTGATCGAAAACCGCGTCGCAGTAGCCGAAAAATGGCTCGTGAGCTAAATATATCACAATATTCCATTCGGCAAACATTGAAAAATGAGCTCGGGGTAAATCCTTGAAATTCCAAAAAGTGCAAGAACTTACACCGCAACGGAAAGAAAATTGACTCAAGAGATATGAAGAGTTGCTTTGATTGGCCGAAAATGGTGAATGGGGATACCAAAATCTTCGGAAACGAATCCGTTGGACTATTGTATCTGGAGTATTTTGTAAAGCTAGGTTGGCACTAAAAAATACCAAAGTGTCGACCACCTCAAGCAAGCGCTACGCCGGGAATTGGCCAAAATACCACAGAACAACATTCGGGCAGTGTGTGACGGTTTCATTGTTCGTTTGAAGGCCATAATTCGTGCCAAACTTGACCAAATCGAACAAATCTAAACTTATTCTAAAATTTGATGTTATTTCCGACATTTCTGCTTTCATTCAATAAATTTGAAAAATTATGGCTTTTGACTTTGTTGCAGTTTTTTATCTCACCCTATAGTTCCTTTATCGATCCTCTCGGTGTTCTCTAAAGTTTTGATAATATCGGAAGATTGTGAAATTTCAGAGCCTGTTTTCCGAGTTACAAACAAGCATAAGAGACCATGGCGAAAAGTATACTTTGCTTCATATTGGCCAAAATGCCAAGATTATTTTCTTACAAACTAACTTACATATTTATGTATATAAATAATTCTTAGCCGTTTTGAATTCAATCCAATCCTTCATTTAATATATTTCGTGCTTGTGATGCTAATAAAACTCTACCTAGAACTATTCAAAAAAATGTCATAACATTTTTACCATTTGTCATTTGCTTCGTTTTCGCTATACTTTGTAATATCTCAACAATCATTAACAGTTTCAGCTTTGTAAGAGTGTCGTCACACTATATAATAATCTCAATTATAATATATATTTTTTGTTTATTTACTTAGAATCCTTGTCCATGTTTATGGCTTTCGTTTCAATTAAAATGTTTGAATAAAAATTTCATTTTTTCCAATAACTACAAACTAATAGATCTAAAGTTATTTTTTTGGTTTCTTATCGAATATATAAAAAATCAATTCAATTTCAGTTGAGTTCAATTAAAAATATGTCCCATTTCCCGTCAAGGGACTTGCTTTTTGATTTCAGTTTTTGGTTTCTTAAAAAATTACCCTGTTAAACTATTCCGTGCTAATTTTCTTTTCTATGTTTTTGTTTGTTTTTTTGTTTATTTTGCCTCCATTCTGTGACCCTTTAAATTCGCTAACTAAAATATTTTAGACCGGCAATCAATAGGAATTTCTCAATAAACAATTCCGAATCTAATACAGCAATATGGGCAGCCCTGCCAATTAGAGTATTGGCGGTATGTGGCAAGGCATGATGTACATCGTAACGGGTCAAAGTCAGTTCAGGTCGTGCCAAAATCGGTGCAATTATATTGTTGACCATTTCTCTGTAAAAAAACACAATTTTTTATTTTAGAGTAAGGCATTGCCGAAGATTTCGATTCGATTTACCTATAAATAACTCCCAAATTTGAATTGTCCCTTATTGCTGCCTTGCACAATTCCAAACGAGCCGAGTGTGCCGGCACATAACGATCTTGACTGGATCCGCAGAGTAGTATATTCTTGAAATGATGCAAGTTACTACGCTGGCTGAGACGATACAAGAAACTTTTGCGCATATCGCTGGTGTCACGCATACACAGTTGCAACAGGGAGCCGGATTTTTTCCATTTCTGCATAAACCACATGCCTGAAAAATACAAAAAAAAAAAACAGTAAAGAAAGTCTTAAAGTCGGGCGGGGCTGACTTTATGATACCCTACACCAATTTGCTAATTTAGTAGAGCTCCGCATAACAATTAAAAGTTTTTATGGGAGAATTTTATCATACACGCTGTGATTATAATTATAATTTAAAGTTCAAAGGACTAAATATGCCGAAGCATTTGTATCTTTTAAATTCGGATTTGTATTGCCCATTTGGTGCACAATTAATTTGAAATCGGATAAAGATATATATGGGAGCTATATCCAAATCTGAATCGATCTCGATAAAATTTGGCAAAGATAATTCTGAGCTGTATTTCATATATTTCCCTGAATATCGTTGTTACGGAGTGCATATTACGGTTGTGGGTAACAAATTTAACAAATCGGATGAACAGTGTATATGGGAGCTATAGCTATATCTAAACCGATCTTCACCAAATTTGACATACTAGCTTCTGAACTCAGTTCGGTCGTAAGTGCCAAATTTAATCAGATTTGAGCAAATATTAGACGTTTGCTGCACAATAAAATGTAAATCGGACGAAGTTATATATGGGAGATATATCCAAATCTGAACCGATCTCGATAAAATTTAGCAAATGTATTTCTGAGCTGTATTTGATATCTTTCCCCATATATTGTTGTTACAGAGTGCATATTACGGCTGCGGAGGACAAAAAATAACAAATCGGATGAACAATATATATGGGAGCTATAGCTATATCTGAACCGATTTCGATAAAATTTGGCATACTTATTTTCAGGCCTAATTTGGTTGTATGTGCAAAATTCCATACTATTCGGGCTGATATTACACGTTTGGTGCACAATAAAAGGCAAATCGGACGAAGATATATAGGGGAGCTATATCTAAATTTTTACCGATTATCTCCAATTTCAATAGGGTTCGTCCTTGGACCAAACAAATGTTGTTTGGAAAATTTCATCTCAATCGGATAATAAATGCGACCTGCATTTTGTTCACAAGAATACATGGACAGACGGACGGACGGACAGATGGACGGACAGACGGACTGACATGCATAAATCAACTCAGAAAGTGATTCTATGCAGATCATCAAAAGGAACTATGGGTCTATCTCGTTTCCTTTTGCCTGTTACAAACAAATGCACAAAGACATAATACCCTGACCACCTTGTGGTGTAGGGTATAAAAATAATAATGAACATCAAAAAACAAGTAAGCAAAGGCTATAGTCGTGCGGGCCGATCATGTGATACCCTACAACACTACAATATGTTCGAAGTCCCCTTATATCTAAATCCATTTTGGAAGATTTCGTTTTAGAAATAATGTCAAAGGGCCCCGCCCAGAGGTTATCCTTAGTTTTTTGGCCCGGAGAATTTGGCAAAAGTTGTGAAAGTTGTGCTCCATTTTACAGGTAAATGTAATCCAATGGACATCCAAAATGCTAGACTTCTTCCCTGTCCTTAACTGTCTCCCGATGCGAAATTCCGTGTCGATTAGTTTCAATTGTGGCCTATAGAGCGACTACAAAATTAAAAAAAATTAAATTTTTTTAGTCCATTTGCACCTCTAAATGTACATCTTAAGAACAATATGCTTTAATTCTGACCCCAACCCTACCCCCACGCAAAATTTCTTGAGGGTTGGACGATAATTTCGATATGCATGTAATACCCTCAAAACTTAGTGTTGAGGGGTGTAAAAATTTAGAAAATTTACAATTCAAAATTGTAAGTCAAATTGAAAAAATCGCATGCGATAAAAAATGTGACAAAAAATTAAAAAAATCGACAAAAGATATTCACTTTTTTATTGGTATATTTTTCGCGATTTTCTTAGATTTTCTGCTTTTCTGGCAAAAGACCATTCCGAATTGATGGGAATTGTGAAAATCGGCCCAACGGTTCTTGATTTATAAGCAGAATAAATAAGATCAATTCTTTTACATATATATTGTACCTATTTTGCTATATATCCGATTTCTTGGCTATTAGCATCACTGTAATGGTCAGAAGTGATCTTTTAATGTATTTGTGATATGGCTGGGGTTGAAAATATTCGCAGTTTAGTGGAAATTTTCCTATTTTCTTACATAAAAGTTAGGGTCTTTCTTACCCGCTAATTATTGTCCGATGGCCGCTCAAATTTAGGTTTCTGCCCACTCCCAAACTCTAACTCCATGTAAATGTTCGCGTCGATTGGTTCATAATTGTGACCTATAGAGCAACTGCAAAATCAGGAAAATTTTCTGTTTTTGGTCCATTTCAACACCTAAATATCGTGCGATAATCTCCAAAAACAGTAGGGTTTATTCTGACCATAATCGCACCTCTATTTTCAATTTCGTGAGGATCGGTTCATAATTGCGACCTGTAGCTTGATTACAAATTAACATGGACAGACGGACGGACGGACGGACATTCATAGCTAGATCGACTCATCTCGGTGAGATTGGAAGATCCATATATACTTTCCTATGTGGGAAACCAATACTTCGAGGTGTTACATAATTTTTGACCCAATCACACTTATAATACCCCCAACACATAGTGTTGTAGGGTATAATTAACATGCAATTTCCAAAGTAGAAGCATGTGAAAATGGTCTGGACTACCTATTCAGGGGCCAAATCAATAAAAATAAAGTGTCACGTTTGGAGTGGTTTTCTGCGAGAAATGTTAACTAGGGGGGAGAGTACATAAAAGGCTTTTTTGACTGGCTTAAGTCATCGGCTGGATTCGTCGTAGAGGAATAAATAATAAAGAAGTTTTAGGTTGACTTAGTTCAATTTCGGCCCTAGGCTCCTTTGTCCCTTTCCGAAGAAGCCAGACGCTGACTTAAGCCAGTCAGAAAAGCGTATTATGTATTCTCACCTTAATTTTCTCAGATATAACGTCCATCGGAAAAGACTCGGGGAATACTAGGAAGAAACCATTCTAATAAGTAATCGAATCAACATGAATAGTAGAAAGTTTTCAATTTGTATAACGAGCAGAACAATACGATCTCTCCCTCTGTACAAAATGGTGTAGGTAAATTAAGTTAATGCGAAGGTAAATTACAGTAACCAAAGGCTCTTTCAAGGGTTTTCGGCTCTTAAACCTCAACTGTAGTTATATCGTAGTGCCAAATCGAGAGTTGAAATCAGGATCAACAACCAAAAACAATGCAATGTATAGGAGAATGGGATCTCTGGAAGGATAAAATAACTGGGAATCATTCTGCAAGATAAATTTGACTTCTGGTAGACATCCGTACATATCATGAAGAATTCCTTGAAGAATCCTGTGCAAGTCCTTCGACACCCTTTGTAAGTCTTGTATGTCCTTTCATTATCCTTGTACGTTCTTGTAGTCTGTGTAGCTATCGCAACTGTAGCTTGGAATATTCTTGTAGTCTGCTTGAGTACTCATAAGGATGTCTTGCAACCGTATCCTTGAATATCCTCGTAGTCTGCATAAATACTTATTAAGGTCTCTGAAAACCGTATCATTGAATATGAATGTAGTCTGTTTGAGTATTGCATTAAGGTATATCGCAACAGCAGCATTGAATATCCCTGTAGTGCTCTTAAGTACTTATTAAAGTCTCTCGCAATCGTATCGTTGCAGTCTACTTGAATACTTATTAAGGTCTATCGCAACCGTAGCTTTGAATATCCTTGTTGTCTGCTGAGTATTTAATTAGGTCTCTCGCAATTGTGTCCTTAGATATCACTGTAGTCTGCTTGAGTACTTATTAAGGTCTCTCGCAATCATATCCTTGAATATCCTCGTAGACAGCTTGCAACCGTAGCTTTGAATATCCTTGTAGTCTGTTTGAGCACTTACTAAGGTCTCTCGCAACCGACAGACCTCCTGTAGACCCCTGTAGTCTGCTTGAGTACTTATTAGGGCCTGATGCAATCATAGCCTTCAATATCCTTAAGCTGGGAATACATAAAGCGCTTATTTGGCTGGCTTAAGTCATCGGCTAGCTTCTTCGGAAATGAACAAAGGAGATTTAGGTTGACTTAGTTCGATTTTGGCCCTAGGCTCCTTTGTTCATTTCCGAAGAAGCCAGCCGATGACTTAAGCCAACCAAATATGCTCTTTATGTATTTCCAGCCTTATAGTCTGTTTGAGTACTTATTAAGGTCTTTCGCAACCATATCCTTGGTTACTTTATAAGGTTCCTTGCAACGATAACTTTAAATATCCATGTAGTCTTTTTGAGTACTTTTTAAGGTCTTATGCAACCGTATTTTTGAATATCCTTGTAGTTTGAGTATTTTTTAAGGTCTCTTGCAACCGTAGCCTTGAATATCTTCGTAGTGTGCTTATGTACTAAGTAAGATCTCTCGCAGCTGTATCCTGGACTATTCTTGTATTCTGCTTGAGAACTTATTAAGGTCTATTGCAACCGTAGCTTTGTATATACCGTAGCTTACTGTATTCCTATAGACGAAATCTTACACTCCCTCATAGGTCCTGCTTGAGTACTTATCAAGGTCTCTGGCATTAACCATCCGGTAGACTTGACTACACAATTCCGAATCCTTAGGTATAAATCCTGTCTCGAGTACTTATCCAGGTGTCGAGTCGAAGAACCATTTGGCAATTCCGGACCGAAGACGGGTAGGATAAGTTGTACTTACCACAGAATCAGTACAGTATAAGTTCATTCAACAATAAAACGTAATATCAAATGAAAATAATTGTATTTCTCTTTCTGTCTTATAAGAAATAAGTTTTTGTACGAACTTTGGACTTCCGTGACCTAAGGGGAGACCAAGGGGAGAAGATATGTCGTTCATTTGCAAGACAAATTTGACTGCCGAATTTCAAGCTTACGCTTACCAAAAATTTTTCCTAATGCAAGGAATTTTGTCGGCTTTTAAATTGCAACTAGAGAATATTGCCGAACCAAATGAAGAGGATTAGGATGTGGAAAAAGAGAATTTGACAGGATGTTTAGGATTGGGGTTAACAATCGACAACTGTGGAATTTATAGAGCACCATCTAAAACGTAATAGTATTCAACTGGATCGATGACTTAAGGTTATCTAGAATTTTTTTCCTGCATATGTAACCTACTGGCTTCTTCGTAAAATAAAGGAATGAAATAAAGGATATCCGAATCCTATTTTATACTAAGTCAATTTAAACTCCATAGTTTTTTTTTGCGAAAAAGCCAGCCGATGTGACCTTTAATAATGAGAAACTAGCTCAACTTCTTAGAAGGTAACCAATTCGATCTAACAATTTCTAAAGTACATCGGGGAGAAAGAGGTTCGGAGAAAACGTTTGCCTTCAGGAGCTAGAATTCTGTCATCGTATGATCTTCGAATGTTAAACGATTTGATGTTTACTCTAAGCCTGTCTATAGCATATCTAATAATTACAAAGGAAACCCGGAATCAATGGTCATCCAATTCACTTTGGACGCAGTCAGTCCAGTTTGCCGAACCGCACTAATAAAGAATTATTTTTATACCCTCAGTCATATGGCTACAGAGGGTATATATCATTTGATACGGTCAAAACGTGCCTAGTCGAAATAAGGGTTTTAGACCCTAGGTCTCTTTGGACCAAATCCGTTTCAGAACATTTGGAGTCGATCTAGCGATGTCCGTCCGTCCGTCCGTCTGTCTGTCTGGTTGGTGCGCACGATAACTCTCGAAGGGAGTATCCGATTTGGTCCAAACTTGGTACATCGTAATATCTTTGTCAAACTTAGATCGAGTTCGGTGATGGGCAATATCGGTCCACTCCTTCTGCTACCTCCCCCACAAAAAACCGAAATTTGCAAAAAATATATTTTTTGCACAGAAAGAGAAAGGATAATCCGATTTTGCTCCAACTTTGCAAGTCCTAATATTTGCATCAGTTCTACGTTAGGTGTAAAAATGGACAATATCGGTTCACTCTTTCAAGTACCTCCCCCACAAATGGTCGAAATTTGGAAAAGTAACAACTCTCATAAAATGTGATGTAAGAGTCCGATTGTCTTCAAATGTCGGATATCCCAATATTTATATTAACCCAAGCTCTGGTGTTAAGATGGAATATATCCGTCCACTCCTTCTGGTACCTCCCTCACAAAGGGTAGAAATTTTCAAAAAAAAAAAAAAAAAAAATACATATTTTTTGCACAGAAAGGGAAACGATGATCCGATTTTGCAAGTCGTAATATTTGCATCAGTGCTAAATTCTGGTTCAAAAATGGACAACATTGGTTCACTCCTTCAAGTACCTCCCCCACAAATGGTCAAAATTTTGAATAATTACAACTCTCATAAAATGTGATGTAAGAGTCCGATTGTCTTTAAATTTCACACATCCCAATCATTTTATTAGCCCAAGGTCTGGTGTAAAGATGGAGTATATCGGTCCACTTCTTCTGGTACCTCCCCCACAAATGGTCGAAATTTTAAAAATATATATTTTCTGCAGAGAAAGGGAAGCAAATATCTAATTTTGAAAAACATAACGCTCAAAGAAAGTGAAATAAGGATCCAACTCTCTTCAAATTTTCACTCATACAAGCATTATTGCTAACACCAGATCTGTTGTGAAGATGCTATATATTTGCGAACACCTGCTGGTACCTCACCCACAAAGGGACACAATTTTCAATATTTTTATCTGTCATAAATTGCGAAACAACTCAGCGATTCTTTACAATTGATTTATCCATCTTCTATAATAATATTTATATCATATTTATTTAGGTCCGATACGAAATGAACAATATTGACCCATTCTTTCAAAACCCACTCCATAGAGGGTGAAGAGGGCTGAGGGTATATTTACTTGTTTTATATTTTCTTCATTACTCACCCATATTAACTAATCCACTGGTATTATACAATGTACCCAAATGCGGTCCCGATAATGATAAAAACGTATGCAATCGCGGCAATAATGAACGCATTTGTGGTCTCGCCAAGGCGCTGCGTACAATAATTGTTCCCAATGAATGAGCGACGAAAGAAATGCGTGTCGGATTGAGTCCACAGGTTTCGATATGATATAAAATTTCAGCAACAAGTCTGCCGGGAAACACACACACAAAATTTAGAATGCTATATATAATGTATAAAAAAAAACAACTCCCCTACCTATCAGTCATGGTATCGAAATCGGAAAATGTATCACCCTGATTGCGTTCGGACATTAGAAACTCCAAATTCGCACCGGGCAGTCCCAATTCCAAATAGGTGCGCACCAAACGCAAATCGGCCGAATTGCCATCCAAGCCATGAACACAAATAATTAAATGCATGCCGTTCGGTGAGAAGGCACGATATTCATCGCTGATATAAAAATAAGGCAACTCCGAGGAGAGTTTGTTGAAGTCTGAATAAATGCTGCCGTTGTATTTCAATTGTTTGCGAAATTCTTCGCGATATTTTTCAAATTCCATTAAAGATATGTTGTTGGCCTCCTGGTGGCCCTTGGTGCTGTTGGCGTTATGGTGTTGGCTGTTCTTGTGATGTTTGGTCGACTTGGTGCTGGACGAACGGACAACCGTCGTGGAAGAGGTGTTGTTGCTGTTGCTGTTACAATGTTGTTGATGCTGTGTTGCTGCGGCTGATGAAGAAGAATTTGAGTTTTCTTTGTTTTCGTCTTCGTTGCCATTTTCTAGAGGCTGGGGAGGATGAGCAGGATGGGGACCTTGGGCATGTGAGGCAGTGATGTTTAGGGAAAGTTTGGTGGAGGAGTTATTGGAGGGTGTGGAACGATTGGATTTGTTGTTGTTCAGCTGGGAACTTTTAATGGTGTTGGTGGTGTTGCTGATCTGTCCAAAATCTTTGGGCCGTTTCATTTCAACAATACTGTGCGATCGTACAACCGGTTTATTGCCAAAAATATTGGCGGGGGTTATGGGTTTCATGGATTCATAGATGTGATAGACGGGATTATCTATTGCCACAATGGGTTGCCTCAGGTTCATGGCATGTTGGGGAATTTCCTTGAGAGGAGGTGGTGGAGCTGGCGGTAGTATCAGTGATGAGGGAGATGAGTGCTGGGTGAGGCTTTGATAGGTATCAGATTTATTGGCCGGCGTCATGGTTACATAATTTGGTGGAACATTTTGTGGTTTAGCTGGAGGAAGCATATCCTTGGCCCTGGACGTGTTAAGTTCGTGTTTCTTGTTTGATTTGTCCTTGTTGTTGTTGTTGTTGCTAAGCGGTGGATCACGAAACTCATCGGGCGGCAGAAGATCATCCTGAAATTGCTGTGGCGGTGGCACCCGCACATTTGTAAGAGCCACCGTTGTGCCATTGGTCTCCTTAATGCTGGTCAAATCAAAATCGGATTTGGATTTCTCTGTCTTCCTATAACGTTCCCGTCTCTGGCTCTGCATGAGCGAAAAGTCCGAGTCCTCCACTTCGGTAGATTCATTGTAGGGTATGTTACGCAGATTTCGACGCAATTCCGAACGCAGACGTTCGGGTTTAATTTTAACCGTTACAGAGGACACCTTTTTGTTTAGCGAACCCTCTGGAATGAGAGCGCTGGGCGTCTTTAGTTGTCCTCGCGATTCTTTGAGTTTTTTATTTTTGTTTTGCTGCTCCAAAAGTTTTTGTAACTTCAGGCGTAATTGTTCTCCATTTAGCCGGGTTTCCAGTTCATTTCTTTCCTTGGTTTGCTGTTGCTTGAGTATGGTTTCCGGTGAGGAGGGCACAATGGAGCTGCGGCGACTGGATACCCAACCACTTTCTTCACTCAGCGAGGAGGTGGAATCACTTATCACTGCCTCGGTGGTAAATTGCGGAGGCGGCACCAAATTGGGCAGAGATTCACTAAAACCACTGGTGGTTTGCTCCTGGTCCTGGGCGGAGGTTGTATCCAGCTTAAAGGGCACACTGGTGGAGGACAACATTTTCTGTTCTGCCTTGGCCTTCTTCACCTTGGAGGGTATATCACTTTCTGAGCTGCTGGACTCTTTGCGCAGTGTGCCATTTTTCAGCATCTCTTTAAGGTCCGAGACCCTTACACGGGCAATTTCCACGGACCGGGGTATGGTACCATTTGGCTCCAGTTCTGGATGGGGACCAACATTGTTTTGTCTTAACGCTTGGGAAGAACTACTGCGGGGTATAGCAATTTGTTGTGGCCAAACTATGGAGCTTTGGGTATTAGCATTAGGGGTATCCCCATTTGTCTGGGGGACGGTCTTTATGGGTGGATATGAGTTACGGGGCACAATCTCACCATTTGCAATGGTCTTGGGCAGGGAATTGTAGTAGGAATTTTGCTTCTGCTCGGTCGCCACTTTTTTGGGTGGATTCAGCATTTTAATTTCATGCAGGTAGTCGTATTTGCTGGCCGCCTGGATATCCAGATTGGGCGGTCTACCCAAGGTATTGGCCCCATAGATTTTGTAATGCATTTGGCCATTGGCGGTGACAGGCGGTGGTGGCGGCGGAACACAGGGATCTTCGAAATTTTTATATTTCAAACGGAACTCATTGATGTTGCGCATCAAATCCTCGGCCTGGACCTTGGGTTTAGTGCGGCTGCCATTCAAACCAAAGCCCTTAAATGTTTTCTCCTGGGACTCTCCTACCCCTCCAGCTCCTCCATAGCTGGCGAGATGATTTATTTCACTTTCTGATAACTTGGCAGGATAACCTGTCATGGTACTGTGGTGATAGGTTCTCAAGGAGGGAGTACTATGGATCGTGCCATCCAATTGATCCAAGGACTTGCTGTGTCTGGCCGGCAAAGTCCCAGCACTGCCCACATCACAAAATTCCTGCAAGGATGGATCCAGACCGCTGTCGATTTCGTCGAGCAGACCATTCACAGAATGTCTGGACATGTAACGGTGATTCAAGGTGGTATTATTTGAACCGGGTCCCTTGGAGGCAGCTGAGGGTGCTATGGTCAAGCTGGCTTGTAGAATTTCTCCGCCTAAGGCAAAGCGGGGCGTCAAAACCCCAGCTACCCCATTGGACTTTGTGGCAGAATAATCAAAGCCACCCGCACCACAAGAACACTCCTTTCCACTTGAAGCTGAGGCTGCCCGTCCATTGGGTGTTGCAACGGTCTTATCACCCGAGCCCTTACTCTTCCCATTGACCACCGACATATCCACACGATTCAAATGTGGCTCGGAACCTGTTCTTTTTCGTGTAAATTTATTTGGCTCCACATAACGATCTTCGAAAATTAAAGGCATTGAATTTGTGTCACCATCGATGGGTGTACAATGGACCGGCAGTGGGGGTAGTGACTGCATGTAGCGGCTTCTGCGCGCCATCTCGGATATGGCCACATAATTTTGATAGTTACTGTCGTAGCAGCCGGCCGCTGTGTGGCGAGGATTTTCCATGACAAAGAAACCTTCGGAGAAACGTCGTACCCGCAAAATGTGATGCTTCTTGGCCAACAGGGTGTGAACCGAAGGTTGGGTGGAGGCTATAAGCACCCGGCGCCAGAACATAATACATTCTGCGCATAGTTGGGCTATGTCCGAATTTGCTCGTATCGTAAAGTCCTCTTCGGAATCGTGGGTCTGAAACAAAAGGAAAAATAATAGAAAGAGAGAGAGAGAGAGAGAGAGAAAGAAAAATTAAAAAATATTGAAATTTGAAAAGAATTTCTGAGAGGACGATCAATTTTTTCCTATAGAAAAAAATCCCCAGTAACTAAGGGTCAATTTTTTCTAGAGAAAAAAATCCTCAGTCACTGAGGGTCAATTTTTTCTAGAGAAAAAATGCTCAGTCACTGAGGGCCATTTTTTCCTATAGAAAAAAAACTTCATTCACTGAGGGTCAATTCTTTCTATAGAAAAAAATCCTTAGTCACTGAGGACCGATTTTTTGCTATAGAAAAAATCCTCAGTCGCTGAGGACCGATTTTTTTCTATAGAAAAAAAATCCTCAGTCACTGAGGACCGAATTTTTTCTATAGAGAAAAAAATCTTCAGTCACTGAGGACCGATTTTTTTCTATAGAAAAAAAATCCTCAGTCACTGAGGACCGATTTTTTTGTATAGAAAAAATCCTTAGCCACTGAGGACCGATTTTTTTCACGGTACCTCAGTCACGTAGGGCCATTTTTTTTCTATAGAAAAAAATCCTTAGTCACTGGGGACCGATTTTTTTGTATGGAAAGAAATCCTCAGTCACTGAGGACCGATTTTTTTGTATGGAAAAAAATCCTCAGTCAATGAGGACCGATTTTTTTGTATAGAAAAAAATCCTCAGTCACTGAGGACCGATTTTTTTGTATAAAAAAATCCTTAACCACTGAGGACCGATTTTTTTTTCACGGTACCTCAGTCACGTAGGGCCATTTTTTTTTCTATAGAAAAAAATCCTCAATCACTGAGGACCGATTTTTTTGTATGGAAAAAAATCCTCAGTCACTGAGGACCGATTTTAGAACCGATAGAAAAAATAATCCTCAGCCACTGGGGACCGTTTTTTATAGACAAAAAAAAATAGCCTCAGCCACTGGGGACCGTTTTTTATAGAAAAAATAGCCTCAGCCGCTGAGGACCTTCTCTACATTAGAAAAAAAGCCTCAAGCACTGAGGACCGATTTTTATTCCGATTTAGAAAATAATAGCCACAGGTACCGAGGACCGATTTTTTTCTGTAGAAAAAATAGTCTCAGGCATTGAGGATCGATTTTTTTTCTACAGAAAAAAATGTCTCTGTCTCTGAGGCCGATTTTTTTGATCGATTTTTTTCTATAGAAAATAATACCCCATTCGCGGAACACCTATTTTGTTTTTTTTTGAAAAAATGCCCCAGTCACTGAGGACCGATTATTTCTATAGAAAAATGCCTTATTTTCTAAGGGCTGATTTTCTAAAGTCATTTTTTCCCATTAAAAAAACCTTAGTCATCTATGACACATTTGTTTTTATTTCCCATCCCTGTCTCACACATACCTTAGCTTGTTCCAATAGCTTATGCAGTCGATCGTTGGTATCGTTTTCTCGAAATGGTGGTGAACCGATTTGTGTGTTGATATTCGGTGGGAGTACGGTGCTAAATTCATTTAGGGCTATTTTCAGTTGTTCAATAGCGCCTAGAAGTAGACTGCATATTTCTTGATGCAGTTGGCGTGACTGTAGCAGTCTTCCCGCCGGACCGCCACTACATTTTGTTGTACTCACAGGTTGGGGGCCAAAGAACACCGCTTCTAGAGGTCCGGGCGACATGCTGCCTCGGCAGCTTAACTTTCCAGTGCTAAGCCAGGGTTTGGAGTTTTTGGGGGCACTAAAATAAAGCAGAGAAGTAAAGAAAAAAAAATATTTAGAAAATTATGAAATATCTTTTTTTTCGAAAAAAAAAAAACTACAGAAACTAAAGATCTGCTCCCCAATGGAGATTGTGAAACCGATCTTTAATTATAACTGCTAGAGAAATATTCAAACTACTTTTCTTTTTCATTTTCTAGATTTTACAGTGTCTCAAAATTGTGTATCTAACTACAATGCAATTTTTAAGTATATTATTTAAGATAACAATAGGCATACAAACATTTCTACCGTGTTCTGAAACTATGTCCGCTAGTTCGGCTACTATGAAAGAGGTGAACATGAAATTCCGATTTTTTTTTTCTTACCATATTTTGACATAGTGAAACAATGATTTCCTTAGTTTGATATTTTATTTCAAATATGCGGGGGGGGGGGGGGAGATTCAACCATACGATGGGGTAGGAGGTTAATTATTAGATGGCAAAAAATGAGAGAAAATGATAAATAGGTCAGTTTGTGAATGTAAAGAAAATAATGGGTTATAAATTAATGATAGGGGGTTAGAAAACGTAAAGGAATCCATGGAAAATACGTTTTTGTTATTTCTACAACAATTGTTAGTGAAAATGGTTTTCAAGCACTCATAGAAGACATTATTTTTTAGTAAAATCAGGAACCTATATTGACTTTCTATACCCTCCACCATACATAGAACGGAGTGTATATTAAGTTCGTCATTCCGTTTTTAACTCATCGAAATAATAGTTTTAGACCCCCCATACTTTTTACATTTTTTTTAAATTTTATTGAATGAAAGCAAAAATTGTCGGAAATAGCATCAAATTTTAGAATAAGTTTAGATTCGTTCGAATTGGTCACCTTTGGCACGAATTATGGCCTTCAAACGGCCTTCACACAACGAAACCGTCCCATGCTGCCCGAATGGTGCTCTGTGGTATTTTGGACCATTCCCGGCGAAGCGCTTGCTTGATGCGATCGGCACTTTGGTATTTTCTAGTGCCAACCTTGCCAACCAAAATACTACAGACACAATAGTGGTATCCGGAGATTTTGGTGGCTATTGTGCGCTGGAAATGAAGCGAGGAACCTCATTTTGTAACCATTCTTGGTTAGCGCGTGCTGAGTGCGATGGTGCTGAGTCCTGGCCCAAGGCCTGCGGCCAAAATGTTTGTGTGCCCAAGGCTTTTATACACCCTCCAGAATATTTTCGCGACAATATTCGGCATTTATTCTGATGCTACGGTCGATTAATACGAACGGAAAGCCACCATCGGCTGTTATGGCGGCTCACACCATCACCATGGCCGGCGCTTGAGTGATATTGGTCAACTGAATGTGCACATTTTCAGCTGACCTCTTTGGCAAGTAAACACGACCATTTTGTTTGTTTACGAACTGCTGGACAACGAATTTTTTCTCATCGGAGAAAACCAAATTCACCACTTTCGACCAAGCGAATCAACCTTTTTGAGTCTAGTTTCTTTCTGTTACGGTGTTAGTTCTTGCACTTTTTGGAATTTCAATGGCCTTACCCCGAGCCCACTTTTCAATATTTGCCGAATGGAATATTGCGATATGTTCAGATCACGAGGCATTTTTCGGCCACTGCGACGCAGGTTTCGATAAGTCGCTTCTTTATTTTTCGAACCATTTCTGCTGATGTTGCTGTTTTCTTCCGTCCACTTCCTTGACGTCGGGCTACGCTCCCAGTATCATGGCAACGAGCGATGGTACGAGACACAAAAGATTCATTCACATTTAAATGCTGGAGTGGTCTAACAATAGCCACTTGTGTTTTTCCAGCCAAATATAAAGAAATCACACTACCACGCTTGAATTCCATCTCGAATAACTTTTTTTCTGGAAAATTCTCACCAAAATGCTTTTTGTACGCTTGTAAACAATATAATGAGCTGTCATTGGAATAATTTTAACAGCTGTCGGACGAGTGGCTGTGAAATGACAGCAGTCTGAATTTTGTTGCAGTTTTTCCAACTCACCCTGTTCTTCTATGTCATCCGAAAAACAGAGTTTTAGGTTGAATTATTTCAATTTCATACATAGTATGGGGGGGGGGGAATATTAAGTTCGTCATTCCATTTGTAACTCATCGAAATAATAATTTTAGACCGTTTCCGTCCGGTCGAATAAAGAATTGAAGCTAACATTTTGCAAGGATCAGTCTTTTGTCTGTAGGCAGGTCTAGCTCGAAGATGGGCTATATCGTTCCACGTTACCCCACGATATTCGGTATTTTGATGACTGTAGCCAAATTTTGGCAGTGAAATTGTCTTGAAATCCACAAAAAGAGTTCCTTCTGAGTACTTTACCCCCTGGACGTGCATTGTCTATATTGGTCCACCATATCAATATCCCCCATACAATGGTACATTCCTATATTTAGTATTTTGATATTTTTTTCGTACTAGAACTTAGTTCTAAGCACATTACACCCTGGAAGAGAAATGTATCCACGATATCGTATAGTCCACATTAAACGCTACTACCCGATATTCGATATTTTGACGATTTGAGGAAGATTATTCACCAAAGTTGTTTCAAATGTTATATTTAGAATTCGTAATGGGTACTACAGCTTAGGACAACAAATTGCGTATGCAGGTTCACGTCTTCTTATAGCCTCCATATCATGGTACCTCCTAATATTCGGTATTTTGACGACATTAGCGATATTATTCACCGAAGTTGTTTCAACTTTCGTATTTAGATTTCGTAATGGGAATTACAGTCTATGACAGAAAATTGTCTATGCAGGTCCAGGTCTTCGTATAGGCCCCATATATCAGTACCTCCTTATATTTGGTATTTTGACGATTTTATGTACAATATTCCCCAAAATTGTTTGACATTTCATATTTGAAATTCGTAATGGGAACTGCAGCCTGTGACATAAAATTGTCTATGCAGGTCCAGATCTTCCTATAGCCCTGATATAACGGTACCCCCCCTACATTCGGTATTTTGATGATTTTAGCTACATTATTCAGAGGAATTTTTTCAAGCTTCGTATTTGATTATGGCAATGGGCTATGACAAAAGTTGCCTACACTAGTCCATTTGTTCATATCGACTCCAATATGATGGCAATATTCGGTATTTTTATACCCTACACCACAAGGTGGTCAGGGTATTATGTCTTTGTGCATTTGTTTGTAACAGGCAAAAGGAAATGAGATAGACCCTTAGTTCCTTTTGATGATCTGCATAGAATCACTTTCTGAGTTGATTTATGCATGTCAGTCCGTCTGTCCGTCCGTCTGTCCATGTATTCTTGTGAACAAAATGCAGGTCGCATTTATTATCCGATTGAGATTAAATTTTGCAAACAACATTTGTTTGGCCCAAGGACGAACCCTATTGAAATTGGAGATAATCGGTAAAAATTTAGATATAGCTCCTATATATATCTTCGTCCGATTTGCCTTTTATTGTGCACCAAACGTGTAATATCAGCCCGAATAGTATGGAATTTTGCACATACAACCAAATTAGGCCTGAGAATAAGTATGCCAAATTTTATCGACATCGGTTCAGATATAGCTATAGCTCTCATATATATTGTTCATCCGATTTGTTATTTTTGTTACCCACAGCCGTAATATGCACTCCGTAACAACGATATTCAGGGAAATATATCAAATACAGCTCAGAAATATCTTTGCCAAATTTTATCGAGATCGGTTCAGATTTGGATATAGCTCCCATGTATATATTTATCCGATTTCAAATTAATTTCGCACCAAATGGGCAATACAAGTTCGAATTTAAAAGATACAAATGATTCGGCATATTTAGTCCTTTGAATTTTAAATTATAATTATAATCATAGCGTGTATGATTGAATTCTCCCATAAAAACTTTTAATTGTTATGCGGAGCTCTACTAAATTAGCAAAGTGGTGTAGGGTATCATAAAATCGGCCCCGCCCGACTTTAGGACTTTCTTTACTGGTTTTAAATTTTAACAGAATTTTAACGGATTTTTTTTTTAAATTTTCAAATTTGTTTCAAAATTTAACAAAATTTTAACGGATTTATTTTTTTTTTTGAAAATTTTCAAAATTCGTTTCAAATGTTGGAGGGTTTTCGAAATTCGGTCCGGCTCAGCTTATTGATTTTCTTCTTGTTTCTTTTACGAATACCTCAACCGGCTATGGCAAAAACAAATTTTCTATGCAATTCCCACCTTAACATGATTTGTAGATTAATAGCCTTAAATAAAATGGATTTGTCGACATCTACCACTCATCAGCACCGACAAAACCACGCCGTTTAGACACCCCAGAGAAATTTAATTAAAAAAATTCACAGAAATACACATTCTTGACAACACCGTAAACTTTTGTGTGGTTTTCATTTGCTGCTGTTGGTTATTTTCTAAGCAAAGCCGCAATCTAACTGCCAACAACAGTAAAATTAGTTTACAAACAATACTTTTACTTTGAGCAAAAATATAGTTTTAAGTTCCAACTTTTCCAAGAACTTAATGCACATACAATTACTAGCCATATTCAAAAATGAACTCCAGCTTCCTTTTTCCTCAATTGCAACACTCATTATTTATGGATTTTCAAATGGGGGAGGAGAAGTACGATTCAAACTAGCCATAATTTAAAGCAGTCAAATGGGAATAAGTTGCGATCTCCTTCTCTATGGAATTCTTTGATAAATTCCCCACATCGTATACAAACTTTGCACGCTGTGAACGGCTGAGCAGCTGAGTTATACGCCCATTCCAGGCAGAAACAAAATGTGGCGGAGTCATAACCTGGAGAACACGGCCACCACGTGCTTGTGTTCCACATATGCTGCAACAACAACAACAATAATACTAATAATAATAATGGTACAATAAAAACGTCTCGATAATAATGATAATGTAAAAATAATAATGAGAATAACAACAGAGCAAAAGGGGGAGCAGATAAAATACGATATGAAATAAAATGAAAGTCATGGTGTGTTAACAGAACCC